GTCGTTCAACTTGTTATTGAAGTATTTCATAACTGATCCAACAAACGATGTTCGGCGCAATTGTGTTTTAATCTGGATTTTTAAGGTAGATAAACAGTTGGAATGTTAACCCAGCACAGTCTGCTTTAACTATATTTTCCAACATATTTTTTTATTCGACTTCAGTTGGGATCACAAATTAAACAACCCCGCAAAAACAGGGCGCACACGGAAGAATTACGTGGGCGCATGCCGAGAGAGCCGTGGCCACACGAAGTTGCGGAGGCGACATACCGGAGAAATCCGTAGCAACGTGAAATTGCGTAGGCGTTCAAATCTTATATAACCGGTCTGGATGTTGACCTGGCTTAGAAGCTGGCTAGAAGTTCTCCGAAGTTTTGTCTCCGTCAATTCCTGTATGAGCAATCCTAACCTCTGTGATTCTACCTCAATCCAGCCATTCGCCGCAACTCGAATAATAAAGATATTTATATATTTTCATATATGTTTTCGTCGTCTTATTTGAGCCAAGCAGCAATATAACTACACTCAACCTAAAGCGTTAAGCAAAGTTGGATATCGGTTGAGGAAAGACCTTTCACCTTACTTCCGCTGCATCAGTGTGTAAGCCTAAAACAGAACTGGTGATAGCATAAACAGGGAATACAGCCGGCGGCTAAAATAAACTGGACGCACAGGTGTCCTAAGACTTGAATAAGCAGGGCGCATATGTGTCCTGAGCGGAAGGAAATGCGTGCTTGCGTGGTCGCCTGCCGGAAGAAGCATAGCCACACGAGTGGCGTAGACGAAATACCGAAAGAAGGCGTAGCCACGTGTAGTTGGGTGGTTCTCCAAATGTTATAAAAACCGGTTCGATTCTTGATCTGGACATAGAGGCTGGCTAGAAGTACACCGAATGTTTGTCTCCGTCAATTCCTGTGTGTGCAATTCTAACCTCTGTGTTTCTCCCTCAATCTACCCATTCGCCGCAACTCGAATAATAAAGATATATATATATATATATATATATATAAACAATCTTTTCAATAGGTGGATATGGGCCTCGCCAGCATTTAAATAGAAGTGCGGGACTCTGAATTTTCTTTCTCGTAGAAGGGTTCCAAGTGTACGGTTAGACATCACTATCTAGCTGAGGGTGGAGAAGTTTTGGAGGTATATATTTCCCAAGACATTGTGTAAAAGAAAATTTAACGGAATTTGAACTCGGCTTGCCGTTTTTACTGTTCGAACCACTAACCGTTATACTAACGGTACGTCCATTTTTGCATCCGTTTATCTAGTTTTATATCATACTAGGTTTAGTAAATTTACAGCGCGAATTGCGATGAGATAGGGGAATGTGGAGATATTCTGATATCTGCCAATATAAAAAAAAAACAAAAAAACGGCGTATTGCTGTCATATCTGGGCTGGAACACTTTCAATACTTGATAAAGTTCAAAATCATTTGCGCGGTCTTGCAGGAGATTTCTTATTTTCGCCTCGCAGGTACAATGTTGCAAGTCTTTCGCTATTCTATCGCCTTGTCTAGGGACAAATAAGCTACACCCCTCATCCAGTTCAAGGGCTTTTAGTTAGGACTCGCCACGCTATTTCACGGAGTCGAATCACTCCCATGTCCTCCATATTCTAAAAGACGTTTCACGCAGAACACACATGGATGCTTCTATGAACACCTCAGTATAAACCTCTTGATGTCAAAAGTCAACCGACATTTATCATCCTTAAAATTTTCAGTTCCTTCTACCCCCTCTAAAATTTATATCACACACCTCATTCAATAATGTACCCTGATCCCTGCAGTGTATGAAATTTAGTAAAGAGAACAAAAAAGGATAGAAAACTTTTTTTATCAGAATTATTATTATTATTATTATTATTATTATTATTATTATTATTATTACTTTTAAACATTTCCCCGAAGCAAGGTAATAAAGCCCCTCGGATTCAAGGGGTTACGGAGAGTGAAAAACTTCCAGAGGACAATAAAAGACCAGAAAACAAGAAGACAGAAGGTGAAGATTAATATTGCAGTTAAGTTTTTAAAAAAATCGTAGTTGACAGGAAAGTAGAAAGACGGAAGTGTGTTTCACAAGCTAGAAGTGCGAGAGAAGAAACTATTAGCATAGGACTTACGGTAATAGATAACACATAACATCTATAAAATTATATGACATAACTTTTCGGAAGAAAATTTCGAAAGGATGCTTTCACGATCACTACAATCGCAACCTTTTCAAGTATGGAGTCAATAATTATCTATCCTACATATCCTTCTACCCTGGCATTTCTTATCCACCACCTCCTTTTGCGTACATGAAAACCGCCTCATTTGGTAATGCTATACCATGAGTGGATTTGGGGTCTAGTATTAGGTGAAAATAGTAAAAACTTTTTTTTTTAATGATTTCGCGTATTTCTACTTGACAGTTAATGAGTGCATCGAGCCGGTAAAAAAATAAAGATAATGAAAACTAAATACTGTGATATTAGTAATAAATACAATAATTCATTTAAAAACGGAAATTTCAGAAACTGTTTCCGTTTTTTTCGCTAAAAGAAAAGACAGTATATTATATTGAATTTTATTGAATCAATTGATAGGTTTGCTGCTAGACAATTTTTTCAGGCTAGAATCTATCTTAAGCATTTATCAGTTTAGCATGTGCCCATGCATTGGATATTTTACTTAATCTCTTCTGCTGCTCTTACTATGCATTTAGAATTTCTTGATAAAATACAAAATATGATCTGCGACGTTATCGGTCCTGACCAGGCATCTCGGCTTCGGTCGCTTTCCCACCGCCGTAACGTAGCTTTCCTGTGCCTCTTCTATGATTATTTTCACGGTTACTGTTCTCATGAGGTTTCTTTGATGGTAGCTCGATTTTAATTTAATTTAATCACGGTATTAGTTAGGTCTCATCATTTTACAGTTAGCTAGATGTAACCGTAAGTTCTACGCTAACAGTTTCTTATCTCGCACTTCTCACTTGTGGGTTTTTTTTTCTCGGCCTCTTGCTTACCTGACAACTTTAATCTCCAAAAATGTAAATGCAATGTCAATCGCTATCTTTTGTCTTCTTAATTCCTGTTCTTTTATTGTTTTTGGAGGAGAGTTATAACTTTGAGTAAATAGTTATAAACGTGGTAATAACAAAACGAACATTATTTATTATCTTGTTTTTATCTGGTGTTGCAGACATGAGAGGCAGTAATATTGAGTTAAGTTGTGAGTTAAATGTAGATCAGATATGGATCGGAATCCGACAGAATGGTAAGACAAAGAATAAGCGAAGTGTTTACAGTTTTTCTTGTATTTTTTTTTATAGCTGTAATGAGTGTCTAGATAATTTAATTAGAAAAATATAAGAAGTGTCTGGAGTTTTCCTACCTCGATTTCTTTTTGAGTGCTAGAAGATAAATGTTTTTATTATGACCTGAAAAAGTGAAAAGGAGATGAAATTTTTGTTGACGCATGTGTTAACGACTTGTCCGATAGTGAGAATGTCACGTGTTTGTGTGTAGAGATTTTCCAAGCGTAGCTTAGATGTGGCACAAGGCCGAAAGTATGAGGCATCCAGTGAGAATCGAACTCACTTTTCAGTAGTAACTGATCGAGCAAGCCAAGCTTGCTAACCATTACACCACGCCGAGGTGCCCATAGTTATTTTCCAAGCATAGCACAAGGCCGAAAGTATGGGGTATCTAGTGAGGATCGAACTCACTTTTCAGTTGTAAGTGATCTAGCGAGACAAACTTGCTAACCATTACACCACAGCGAGGTGCCCCACGTGTTTGTGTTTATAGAGGAGAAAAAGAGAGTCGATTTTTATTGGTTAAGAATGAGTGAATTAATGATAATTATAATAATTATTTTATTATAATTATTTTTTTTTATACTATAATTAGCTTTTATTTATTTTTATGGACACGACAAAGTGATAAACTTCTGTTTAAGACTTTTTTATGGCCACGACATTCTCTTTTCCTTATATTTTCTTTTTCTCATATTCTCTTACACTCAGTAACACATCGAGCCTTTGTGGCTTTATTGTCTTTTTAGGGTTGAAATGTTTAAACAAAAGATATGGAAAATGATAAAAATCAGAGCAAAATAGTAATAAAATGTTAACTTAGAATAAATATTTTTGCGTGGAGATATCTCGATTCGTGGATGCAGTATTCTTTTTTTTTTTTTAATGTTAATGCATCTTAATTCTTTAACATCGTAATCGTTAGCGAGTTTTTGCTATGGCTGGATATTTTCAAATTAGCAAACCGCTATCTCTTAACCGCACAGGAAATAAAGAAAACCGCGATGCGCATGCGTCAAAATAATGGCGCCCGTGACATGTAATTACCGCAAGCAATTTTGCCAGTCCTTCCAAAATGTAGCCAGGACCTTTCTAGCTATGTTCGATTCATTTTCAAAATGTGCTTCTATCTTAATCACATTGTCCAAAATTGGCAATTTACCGCCAAGTGATGATTCATGCTTTAGTTCTTCAGAACGTCCCATCTTTTGACATTTTTACTTGTCGTTTTTATAATTAGTAAAGCCATCGCCACCATTTTTTTCTTTGCTCGTTTACGTTGGTTTCAAGGGGAGGGGGGCAAATAAAGCAGCTCTTCAGATTTTCCAATTCTATTTGTAAACGCAAACTGGCGTTTCGTGACAAACAAGTAAATTTCATTAAGGCATGAAAGGATCTTTTTTCGTGACAGCATTGAAGAAATGCATGCTATACCTACGCCGACCGTTTAAAAGAAAAGAAAAGTGTTTGTTTTTTCCCCTCGACTTTCTTCTTTCTGAATGAATAATTTGACATTTTTTTTTATTTATTGAATTTTGTCTTTCATTCGTCCTCATTCTGTTGTCTTTACTTTCTTCCATTTTTTTTAAATTTTGATTTCGTTTGTTCCATTTTTGTTTTTTTGATGTGTTCTTTCTGTCATATTTCTTTGATTCTCTTTATTTTTTTCTTTCGTTCACACCAATGAGCTTGTTCTTTCTTTATTTCATGAAATTCTTTTGCTGTTTTTTTTTTCATTGCATTGATTCTAATCTGTCCTTTTCTCTTTCATTCTTTGTTTTTCGTTTGGTTTTTCGTTCGTATTAAATCTCTTTTGTTTTTTGTTTTTTCGTACTTTCACTGAATATTCCTGTAGAATACACTTTCTTTTATTTCAATTCCTGTCTTTCTTTTTTTCTTTGTTTGTTTGTTTGTTTCTTTCTTTCTTTTTCTCTTTCTTTTATTCTTTTTTTTTCTTTCTTTTTTCTTTCTTTCTTTTACTCTTTCTGTTGCTCTCTCTTTTTTCTCACTTCCTTTTGTTCTTTCGTTCGCTCGTCTTTCTTTCTTTTTTCTTTCGCCCTTTCTTTTGTTTTTTCGTTCGCTCTTTCTTTCTTTCTTTCTTTCTTTCTTTTGCTCGTTCTATTGTTCTTTCTTCTCTCTTTCTTTCACTTTTCACTTGTTCTTTCTTTTTTCTTTCTGTCGCTGTTTCTTTCGTTTTTTTCTTTCTCATGTTTTTCTTTCTTTCGCTATTTCGTCCGTATTTCTTTGAATCACTTTAGTTTTTATCATTCATTCACTGAATTTTTCTTTCTTTCTACTTTAATAATAATTATTCTTTTTATTTATTACTTTTTTTCATTCATATTTCTGTAAATTTCTTTCAGTTTCTACGTTCTCTCGCTGTGGTTTTCATTGACCCTTTTTACTGTTTTTTTCTTTTATTCTTTCTTTCATTGAATTTTTCCTTCCTTTATTTCGTAAAACACTTTTTCTTTTCTTCTTCATTGCATTCATTCTACTCTCTTCTGTCGTGTTACTCTCTTTCTTTCATATTAAATCTTCTTCATTTTTCTTCATTTTTTTCACTGAATGTTCATTGAAATTATTTTCTTTTTCTTTGTTTGATGGTTTCTTTTTCTTTCGTTCGTATTTCTTTAAATCTTAGTTCTTTCACCGAGTTTTTCATTGAGAATAAATTATGTTCTCATTCTTTCTTTTTTAAAAATACATTTATTCTTAATTTTTCTTATTCTTATAATCATTTTATTTGTGCCATTCTTTAATTCTATCATTCTTTCCTTCGTTTCTCTAGTTACCTCCTTTGTTTCCTCGGCCCAGCACTTTTTACAACCTTAACCTTTCATCACCTCATTTAACTTTAATCAAAACATGTCAACTATAACGTGAGATCAACTCCGAGAGCAAAGCTCAATGAGATTTGCACATAAAGGAAGATTACTTGCGTCTATAAAACCCTGTCAGGTAATGTTTAACTCGCAAATGATCCAGGTTTAGCCTGGTAGAAGTTTGAAGGAAATAAAACCAACCGATGGGAGGTAGAGGGAGGCCATTCGGAATCACCCTTTCTTCTATGTGCCGCGTCCCTTCAAATCATAGGCGATCATGGCTCTCCACTACCTCCGATCTTGTGTGGCTGTTAGCAATTTTTCTCCATTTCCTAAAGCTCCCGCCCTTCGTTCCACCATCCATTCACACAAGCACATCAGATAAGTGGCGGCTCACTGCCTTCCTCTATCTCTCTCGCCCTCAGTATGCCACGTGAGGATTAAGTTTTCCAAGCCTTCCTTCCTTCCTCATTATGTGCCCAAGGAATTTCAGCTTTTACCTTCTGTAGAACCATATTTTTTGCTGCTTATAATTTTCTCCTCATCCGAGGGGAGAATGTTCAGCATTCAATGCTATTGTTGTAGCATACCTACGGACGATAATGGCTATGTCCCCATTCACATCAATACAGTAGTAAATACTGTATCTTGGTCTGCAGCTAGAGATCCATCTTCCGCTGTCCTGGTCAAACTCTCTGACTCCGGGCAGAGAGGATCCCCTGACGAGGCTATATCGAAGGGAAGCGTCTCGTTTCGGGAAACACCTATCCAATCCCATTTTATACGGGGTCTCCTTGGAATTTTTGGCCGAGCATACGGGCTCGGACACCCCACATTAAATTCGGCCTTGTCGAAGGGCAGAGTCTCCTCTCGGGAATCAGCTGCCCAACCCTGTTTTATACGGGGTCTACGGGGAATTTGGGGCCGAGCATACAGGCTCGGATACTTCACATTAAATTCGGTCTTGTGCCTCATCTGACAGCGTGGGGCGGTTGGTATATATTCTGCAGTTGGAGATTCATTGTGGAATACGCTTGACTCACTTCTAGCAGTTGACTACTTCTACGCGCCGCTGCGAATCTTATATGTGTTGTTCGTGTCTAAAGTATTATCGTTCATTACCAAACTTCGTTTGATTATTCTATTCGGTAATCTTCCCTAGGTTACAACATTTATACAAGAGGATTGGTTAACCTTTTTTTTTGTTTCTAACGATTCTTTTCGTTTCTGTTGTGGAGTATTTTCACAGTGGAGGCTTGTATTTCTAATAAGTCGTCCTAAATTAGGTCCGACGTACAAAACGTTAGAAACTTGGAAAATAAGAGTCAATGGCGCAGCAATCTAGTTGTGATGGTTGGTACTTCAAATGTCCGAAATCTCGACTGACGCGCTCAACACCATTCTGCCAGACTTGCCACTGCTACTCCTACTTATTATCTATGGGAGAGTACATTAGAATAGAATAGGTACTTAACAGTTTCTCAGCACCTTGCTTAGCTTTTGGAATGCTTCTATCGCTAGTCTAATATCTGTTCAGAAATCGATGTCTTATCTTCCATCCTCTGTTAAAACGTTTCCTAGATCGGCTTGAAACCTCTGCGTATACTTGATGTTTCTATCTCCAATTTGTAACTCGCATCTTGGAATGTTTCACATGCTGATGACCATACTTTCTGTCTTCTTGTAGTTGAAGGTTAGTCCTTTTCTTCTCGCTTTCTCCTACTATCCTGTTTCGAAAGTCCTGTAGAATTCTTTCCTCGTCGGTCATAGTGACATCTGCGTATTTTATGTTGTTAACATTGCGACCATTGATAATAAATTCTGGTAGGGTTTCCAGTTCTCTTAAGATAGCGTCGCTATAGAGGTTGAATAAATTGGAGAGAACAGAGAGCTTTATCTCACACCCCTATCTTGTTCCCCCCCCAAAAAGATATAAAGTAGAGGTAGGAAAAAGATCAACAACCACAGTAAATTTTATTGACGGTTTCAGTTATCTGTTGTCAATACTTCTAAATAAGCATTTCATTAGTTTCATTTAATAATGGTCAAGAAGCTCAAGAGTAGTGATGCTGGCAATTTGGAGGAACTAATGGGAAGTCGTAAACTGTTGCCTCTAAGTGAAGAGGTGAACGTGTATAGAAAAATCCTAATTTGCAGTTGTTAAGATCTAAAACAAGAAGAAATCTATCCGTGACATTGTTCGTATTACAATATAGTGTCACAATTGTTCTATTTTATTATTAATTATTGTTATTAATCATTTATTGGGCCTAATATGCTCTACGGTAAGAACAAATCTTCTATTCGCCACATAACGTTTATTACTGTATGGTATTATAATTGTTCGGTTTTTGTTTAGTTATTGTTGTTAATATCTTGTGCCTAATTTATAAATTAAAATTTGCCATTTCTATATATAAATATATAGAAAAAAAAAGTTCAATCTCGAATGTTCTTCATGCAATTATGTTATTCTAAAAGGAATCTTTTCTAGAAATAAATTAGTGATATAAAATATTTTTGCAATTATATATTTTTTATAAATTAAAAAAAAATGTCTTTGATTAAACACTTTTGTTTTTATTTTAAAAAATAATGATTATGTTTAATAATATGTTTCAAATAGATTTCTGAATTAAAAAATAAAGATGGAAAACTGTATTTTCATTGATAAATGAGAATCGATAATTAAAAATGTTTAAGCGCGAAAAGAGTTACTGAACAAGGAATAACAAAAACGCAAATTCGAAATGAAATATTAATCTTTATAATATCAACAAAATACAATACTCGCCAGCGGCATGAAGTAGGTAAACCACTGTTAGAGGTGGACTACTAGACAGCATATTTACAATATTTACCTGCCTCCCTATGAAAAAAAAAAAGAAATTAGAAGAAAGAAAGAAAAAATAAGAAATTAAAAGAAAGAAAGAAAAGATAAAAAAATTAAATGATGAAAGAAAGAAAGATAAGTAATTAGAAGAAAGAAAGAAACGATACGAAATTAGAAGAAAGAAAATAAGAAATTAGAAGAAAGAAAGAAAGAAAGAAAGAAGGAATGAAAAAAAGAAAAAATAAGAAATTAGAAGAAAGAAAGAAAGAAAGAAAGAAAAAATAAGAAATTAGAAGAAAGAAATAAAGAAAAGATGAAAAAAATTGGAAGAACAAAGAAAGATAGAAAGAAAAGATAAAAATTAGAAGAATAAAGAAAAATAAGAAATTCGAAGAAAGAAAGAAAAGATAAAAACTAGAAGAAAAAAACAAAGAAAGGTAAAAAATTAGAAGAAAGAAAGTGTTGTAACATAGAATGGGTTACTGAATGTGGAATAACCAAAACGGAGGTTGGAAATGGAATGGTGATCTTTATCACATCAACAAAATACAATACTCGCCAGCGGCGTGAAGCAGGTAAACCACTGCTAGTGGTGGACTACATAGACAGCATATTACTCCTACTTACAATATTGTTCAGCGTATTTATGAGGATCGGGTCATGCCCATTAGTGTTCATAGGTACGGTATATAACAAAAAATAACTCGATTTTTGTCGTGACCGAAGAAGCATACATTTGAGCGTCTGTTCTACAAAGTAGCGCATCTGTGGGTGAAACTGTCTGAATGGAACTTCTTTATTACTAATGAAATATGGGAGAAATCAAGAAGATTCATCCCCGTTTAGGTGGCATATCGTGTTTTAGCTGTAAATGTATATAAAGTTTTAACTTAGTTTATGTTGGGTAATCTACTTTTACCACAAAACAATGAAAAATAATGAATTAGAAATAAACAAACATTCAGTCAAGTCAAATATTTCCAAAACTAACTTGAGCCAAAGAGAATGTGGGAAATAATTATTTGCACTGTACATTAAATGCTTTTGCATATAAACGACACTGCAAAGCATAGCACAGATATCGATGCAGGCATAAAACTTTTTTGATAAACAAGCTTGAATATATATATATATATATATATATATATATATATATATATATATATATATATTATTGAAACAAAGGCCTGATACCACAGAACAGGAATATTGATTTAAACAAACATAATTTTATGTTTTTTTTTAAATATCCGGACCTAGGCTGCCTTTCGGCCAACACATCATCAGGGACCAATCGTTGGCAATTTTAATTCATTTGAATTGATAACAGATAGTACTGGAACACGTTTAAAATTACGAATGTTGTAAATACGTAAAATTAAGAAAAATAAATAAATTTACAATTTAAAATACGTAAATAAAAATTGATCCAGTGGAGCATAAAACGGAAAAAATAAAGCTCACATATCCCCGAATAAATTCAAGGATCTTAAAAAAATTGATATATATATATATATATATGTGTGTGTGTGTCGTCTGTATATTATTAGAATGCAATTAAAACAATATATATATAATAACGCAATCAAAACACTATATACATATACATATACATATATTGAATGCAAGTAAACAATATATATATATATATATATATATATATATATATATATATATATAAAAATATAAAAGTGAACATAAAGTCAATATTAGAGGCAACAGTCTGTTCCATGCTAGATGCAATCGTCAGGCCTGCCGATTGCATATAGCATGAAACAGACTGTCGCCTCTAAGTGTT